ATAGTACGTGTTCATGTGTGTAGAACGTCATGTGTGTAGTACGTCATGTATAGTACGTGTTCATGTGTGTCCCCGGGGGTGAAGTCTATCATATAACTTCTCCCGTACGTACCATTGGCAGTTCCAACAAATCAGTAAAAATAAAAATAATGTATAATAAATCTTATTGCACCACTAATAATTCTCCTATCTGCTGTAAACAACTCCTCACTGCAAATCACTGCAAAGCCTAACGTCGGCGCGAATGCTGACTCTCTGCTGCGTTACTCTCCATACATATGTAATGAACGCATGAGCTTCATTACACACAATCCCAAACATTATGTATGCATGGTGAGTACGCAGCGTAGTGCAGAGAGTCGGCATTCGCGCCGACGTTAGGCGTTTCATTTGCAGTGAGGAGTTGTTTACCGCAGATAGGAGAGTTATTAGTGGTGCAATAAGATTTATTATACATTATTTTTATTTTTACTGATTTGTTGGAACTGCCAGTGGGTACGTGGCAACGACAACACTACGTACTAGGCCCTGTAAATAGGACTTTTTTTGAGAAATGAGTTGTAAACTTTGCGCGTACTATATTATATAGCCTATTGTTTGTTTTACGGCAAAGTGCATATAAGCAATGACTAATAGTAACTATTGATGTATTGTATGGCTTGTATTGATTAGTACTATATGGTATGTGATGGGGTCGCGGCGGCGTTCACGCTCTCTTTCACTTTAACGTGCCCATTGTTTTCGTTTGGAACCCATTGTTTCATTTGTTCGATATTGCCCACCGCTTATTTACAGATTACACAGACGGTAACGTATTCGATCATAGCAGGTGCAACCATAGCTGTGCCGATGCATACCTTTATGAAACGCTATACTTTACTATACACTAGCTTGTATCAAATACGAACCTATCATGATATCATATCATCGCCCCTATCACATATGCCAGATAATGCCACGCCCATCCGGTTTTCCCGCCGTGTGGCGGGAGAGAAGGGGTTACACCGGTAGAGCTGTGTAAGTCTAGGTACAATATTGTACCCCAACGCAAGAGCACACTGGTGGGGGGATACTGGTATACTGGTGGTGTCCCCTACTCTTGTGTTGGGCTACCTTATTGAATCTCTAGTGTAACCCCCTCTGCTCTGGCTGAAGATGTTCCCTGTTTTATCTGGGTTAATTGCTACTCAACTGTAGACTAGACGGTTGAGTAACAATTAACCCAGATAAATCTATTAGTCTACCAACCGAATGAACTTATTTAATTAGTTATGTTCCCTGTTCTCTTGTAATGAGAATGCATGAGCTATTCATGTGTTACTGCATAAGCAGCTACAGTAGTGCACGTGCCTTGCTATGTTATGATATCAGGAGTGCATAATATCAGGGATTTATATTATAATAATGACAAATAATACGTCATAATTTTTTTAATAAGAATTCATTAATTTGTCAATAATTTGTCATTATTAACCCCTGATAATATAGATATAGATCTAGATAGTGGATCCGATCTAGATAATCGATCTAATCTAGATAATGGACATCTAGGTCTAGATCTATATTATACACTCCTGCATGGTGATATCTCATCTGCTCCCCAGGTGGCGTTTTGTCGGCCGTAACAAGTGAACATTCGCGGCGTAAATCGGGGCAGAGCGACCTCCCACGGCGCCTGCTCCACGGTCACCCTAATTAGTTTTTAATAATGCACCGACTGTGCCGCTGTGCGTGCGTGCGTGTAAGCTACACGCACGCACACACATACAGGCATACACGCACGCACGCACACGCATACAGGCATACACGCACGCACATACGTACAGTCATACACGCGAGCTACCAGGGGTCTGCCCTGCTGTCACACGGTCACCCTGCGATCACCCGCAGCCGGCTGAAAGGGGTGGTAGGATATGTTTACTAGGCACTTCTAATTTTAACATATATTTTTAATTTAATTAGGGTCAGGGTTAGGGTTAGGGTTAGGGCACTTTTTAGGGTTTTTGCATCATTCTTTAATATATCGTA